GCCAAAACCCCAAAATCTGAACCCCCCAAACCCTTGAAAGCCCCCCGAACGCTCAGAGCCGAAGAGCATCCTCGTAGACGTCCTCCGCCAGGTACCGCTCCGTGAGGCTATGGGTGGCAAACAGGAAGACGCCTCCAAAAGGGCTCCCGGGGAGGGGGGGGGGGGGGGGGGGGCGTCGACTTTTTTTCGTTTCGGGGCTTGGAATGTTCAGGATTTAAGGTTTTTTTGCTCGATTTGGGTTTTTTGGCATCACAATCACTCTGAGCTCGATTTGGGTTTAGGGTTTAGGGTTTAACTCTAGGCTTCGCGGCTTCGGGTCTTGGGAGTTTGCATCGCAGATCGCAGATCTGGGATTGTTACAGGGCCGGCTTACTTCATCGGGTTTCTGCATGGCTCGGGGTCAGTCACGGTAAACTCCTCCCCCAGCGAAACTTCAGAGAAGCAGGCGATAGCAGGCAGAAAGGCTTCTGGCGAGTGAAGGGCTTTAGAAGAGGCCGGGTCAACATTCACACGGCCAAGCACACAGGGTTACGGGCTCAGGATTCCAGCGCCGTAGGGGCGCGGGGATTTCGAGTTCACGACTTTTAAGGCATCCCTGGAAGCCCAGCAGCCTCAGGCTCCAAAGCCACGATGTCCAACTTCGTGCGTGCAACTTAGAATCTACCTGTGTCGGCGACCCTGGGAATTAGAAGAACTAGAGACTAGATTTCGTCAGTCGTCAGCTGTGGGAAGGCGACTCCTTTCAGCCGAGTCGGAGTCGGGCCTTTCACTATCTGGAAGATGAAGGACAGGTCTTTGAGGCTCTGGAGGTCCTCCGAGGAAGGCTCCGACCAGCCCCAGCAAAGTTCTGCCGATAACGCAGCGCAAACATCTTTCGTAAGCTAGCTGGGGCTGCAAGGCGGATGGCACCAGCATTTTGTTTTGTCCAAGATCCACACCTCAAAAATGTGGCCTTCATCCTCTGCACCGCTCTCTCCGGCATCCATGGTCGATTCACAAGCTTCAGGTCCAAGGGGGGCTGGAGGCAGGCTCAAATTACGCTGCTCCTCCGCACTGTGGAAGGACTCCCGGAGTTCCTGTCACTTTATTGTGCCATTTAGGAAATTTACGGTTGAGAGATGTCTGAGCTGAAGGAGCTCGGGACGCAAACCTTGCAAATTCAGCTGAGTTCCAGAACAGCAATTGGCAGGCCTAGAATCAAGAGGCCACAATCGCAGGAGCCCAGCGAAAAACAGACGCCATCCCGACATGTTCAATTGCTGGCGTCATGCCGACATGGCTTTGCCAGGCCTACGACGAAAACCTGTCCCACTACTCAGCATGCTTGTCTTTCAGGCCGCTATACTACAACTGAAAACGACAATGTAGTCCATTAAGCCGGCATTCCATGCCGCAATGAATGTGCTCGGAAATCCACAATACGCATGCCAAGTAGGGTGTTAGACACTAATGGGAGAGTAGTGCTCCGGAGAGGAGGTAGGAGCAACAGCACCTGATGAACTATGTGCACGCACATCCCTAAATTTTCGTGAAAGCATATACACTTCTGTGCACAGGGATGCGTTCACAGATATGCTATAAACACTGCATGACATGCGCAGACGGATGCTAGCCGAGCCTTCATCATTGATTGATTGATTGGTTGTAAGGTTTATGGCGATGCGGCATCATCACCTAAATTCGTCTCGGCAGGGCAACAACGACGATACCAGAAGTGATTGTGCTGATGAAAACGTTGAGGTAAACCACAACAGAGCCTCTCACTCAGACATGAGAGCAAGCTCCTGCACGAACTCCTCACTGACAAGTTCGGCAGCAAGTCCTTCTCGCTGGCCTTTCAGGACGAAGATGGGCGGTTCTTCCCAGGGTTGAAGTTTTGACTTGTAGACATCGGAGTCCAGGCGCCCGGGTGCGGGTCAGCTCCGGAAAGCTGAAAAAAGTTAAGGGCTTGGGGGGTTTAGGCCTTCTTTTGCCTCCTACCTAGCAAGGACAAGCCCGCAATGCAGGGTAAGGCCTTAAGGTTTAGGGTTTAGGGTTTATGGACTGGCTTCCAGAAGTTTGGAGTTTGCTATCCCGGAGCCTGGGGCCCAGGGATGATGCTGAAGCAAGCAGCGCTCGGGAAGTAGCGCATCCGAACTCTGAGAGACCAAGGATGTGCGGATGCTCAGCCATGTGAGCAACAGGGCCCGGCCTGGAGCGACGTACTGCAGTTTTCTTGCCAGCTCCTGCAAGTCGTGGCGCGCAAAACACAGGAACACAGACACGCCCGTAAAGATCACCCAAGGCCTCTGATACCTTATGTTTACGAGTCAACGTTTTGACCAAAGCGGCCGCCACCAGCAACAACAACCACAGCCAGGACGAGGACGATGACGACAAACTCGCCACCGCTACCATCATTGTCATCACTGGCATCGTCTGCATCCTCGCATTCACCGTCGCCATTAATCATTGTCATCGTCGCCGAAATGAAAGTGCTGCAGCTTGCACGTCGCAACCCTATCTATTGAACAAGAAGGCGAGAGGATGAAAAAGCAAGGAACGAGACACACGACATGTCTGAACATCGTGAATCAAACTTGGTGCTCAGAAGGAGCCATTGGCGAACATAGCAGTTGTCAGGACAACCTCATCGAGTCGTTTATCAAGCTGGGCACCTGAACCGATGGCATCAAGATGTCGTTCAATTCCCCTCCTGAGAACCCTAACTCGAAACCGCTGAACCCGCATGAACCCGCAAGCGAGTGAGACGGATTCAAGGACCTTGAGATGGCCCCACATCCAGTGCGATGCGATTTCGACACCATGTTGTAACCAAACCCGTACATGCCCAAACTGTCGCGATCCGGGACACAATGTTGTGACACAACGTGGACAAAGTGAACATGAACCCAAAACATCACATAACAACACCAACCGAGCCTAAGCTCCAACCCAAAGCCGACATCGCCACAGCAAAGCCTCTTCAGCCCTAAGCCCTGAGCCTGATACCCTAAACCCCCGAACCCTAAACCCTAAACCCACCCTCAGAGCCCTGGGAGCTGCAGGCCTGGAGGTTGGGAAGCTTCGGCGGAGGAAGCATCCGCTTCTGCTCACTAGGCCTCGGACCCAGGCTCCTAGCTTCTGGCGAAAGCAACTGTAGCAAAGGTTTCTGTAAGTTTTTTTTTAATGCGATAGCCCCCTTTCTCTAAGTTTAGGGTTTAGGGTTTAGGGCTTAGGGTTTCGACTCACACACTCGCACAAGGCAGGCATGGCAATGAGGTTCCGAGCTTGCTACGTGAACATGCTGAACAAGCGAGCAGAGGGCTTAGGGTTTAGGGTTTAGGGCTTAGGGAAAAAACTACGGCGAAATCAAAAAAAGCCGAGGAAAGCAAACACTTGCTTCAGTTGATAGCTTGCGCACGTGCCGGGAGGAACACTGGTAGCTAGCAAAAACAATGAAAGCAATGCAAGCAAACGTGTTATTTGCAGTGCATGTGTGGCATTCAAAAGATTCAGAGAACTCCAAGAGCCAGCCAGCATTGTGGAGGAGGGTAGAGCAACCATCATCTGACCGGCTGTGTGACTTCTACTGCTTCGCCGCTTCAGGTACAACATTGAGACAGCGAGTCATTGCCGGACAGCAGTACTGGCAATAAAGCGAATTCTTGCTAAGTTGCGCGGTGCTGTCAATGCAGAAAATGCCACATCGTATTCAGAGGCTTGCACCCATTCCTACACAATGGGCGGAAATTCTGCATTCTTGTCATGAGAGCAACCACTTGCCTTGCCTTGCCTTGCCGACAATCTGGGGGACACACTCGTGGCAAATGAGCTTGTATATCTCCTGTGCACCCGCAGAAGGTGAGGAAGTTAACTTCAACATCCCCATGTCTTGCCAACCGAAAGAACGGTGAGCCCTTTGAGAGACCATGCAAAGAAGAAACGACAGCGACGATGATCCCACAATCACACTGAAACGCAGGCCCGCAACGCCCAGCTTTCCGATGGCATACAGATCCCGGAACCCCGAAGTGTTTGAAGCGCCCCGAAATCCTCGAATGCCACCCTGCAATCCCTACCCAAGAAGTGTAGCGCAAAAACTGACCCCTGCTACACCCAGCTCTTCCGACTTTTTCCGGAGCTTGCGGACTTGCCCGACATCCCCAAACCCTAAAAGCCACTGATCCCAAAATCTGTCAAGAGCTCTGAACGTAACCCCTATAGGCATCCCCTAAAAATAAATAAAAAAATGAACACACGCTATCGAGCCCGTCAGCCTTGAAAGGACTGACCCCGAATCCTCCCCTGTTGCCCTAGGCCTGTGAGCCGACCTCGTCCTGGAAGCTCAGAGCCTCCGATCACCCGAGGTCTTCGGTCTCTTTCTGACTATGATTGTACTCTGCTTTCTTTTTCTTTCTTCATCTTTTAGGAATCTTCTGATGCCTACTGGTAGCCGTAGTTGTAGCAGCAGCAGCAGCAG